AAAAAATTTGGCCCAAAAAAGAAAAAGAAAAAAAGAGAGGACAATATTGTCGGATAAATCCGACACTAAAGAGGACAATGCATTAATAATGAAAAATCCAGCCCACCCCGGGGCTGGCTGGCTGGATTGGGCCAGCTGGTTGGCCCTTTGGTCCTTTTTTGTCTTGTGGGGCCCACGAGCCCTTTGGCCTAGCCCTCGGTTGGAGACAATTTTCGGACTATTTTCTGCTCTTTGGCCCTCTAAACCTTTCGATTGGAAATAGCCACCAACCTTAGCCCTCTATAGCTACCTAATTACCTATAATAAGAAAAGGAAGGATTGCACGTTGTAGATAAAGAAAATCAAGTTGAGCAACGCCATAAAATATGATGAGAATCGATATATTGAAAAAGGCACTACTGCCACTGCCTTATAGAATTATTGCAAAATTAAAATGAGATTCAAACTTTTCAAAACCCATCCACAGTTGCCACTTAGTACTACAGTGTAGTAGTATTCCTCTTCACTTGTAAGTGAAATGTCTTAGGTTCGATTCTCGCCAAAGAGAAATTTGAACCACATTATTGCTAGCCTATTGTAAGGCTTAACTCACTCCCCCATCCCTTAGTGTAGATAATTTGTTTCAAAAAAAAAAAATTAGTCGACAACAAAGCATATTGGAGGCAAGCTTCCTTCTTCTCAAAGATTAGTTGCATGAATTCCATTCCTAGATCGGAGAACAAATTAGGCACTCACCATTTAGATGTCTCAGCCATCTCTCTCTCTCTCTCTCTCTCTCTCTCTCTCTCTCTCTCTCTCTCTCTCTCTCTCTCTCTCTCTCTCTCTCTCTCTCTCTCTTTTTCTTTCTTTCTCTAGTTGGTTTGTATTCAGAGAAGTAAGGTCATTTCCAACCGAAGGATCCTGAGGGCTAGAGGGCCGAAAATAGCCCAAAAACCGTCTCCAACCGAGGGTTAGGCCAGAGGGCTCTGGAATCTGGGAGGACCCCACAGAATCGGAGAGGGCTGGAGGGCTGCAGCCAGCTAGCCAGCCCGGGGCTGGCCATTTTTTTTTTTTAATGTTTTGTTATTTCTGTCGGTTATAGCCGACATGAATACATTCTATTACTTAATATAAATGTATTCCTAACCGACAAGATTTCTTAAGAAAGAATTCAAATGCAATGGCTAGCTGACTAGCCGTTGCATTTGATTTTTTTTTTTTTTTTTTTTACAAAATTTTTCATATAACTTCTATTTTTTCCTATAACTTTTATTTTACAAAATTTGTTTCATATTTTTTTAAAATTCCATTTTTTCATATAACTTCTATTTCACAAAATTTGTTTCATTTTATTTTAAGTTGTAGTTTTTAAATAATAAATTATGTTTGGCCTTATGGCCCTTTGGTCCTTGGTTGGAGATGGTTTTTTTGTGACAAGGCTAAAACGAGCCCTCTAGCCCTCGGTTGGAGACGGAGGCAAATATGGCCCTGTACTGTTCATTAAGATATTAATATCTTGGAGGACCAGAGGGCTAAAACGAGCCATCTGGCCAGCCATCGGTTGGAGATGGCCTAACCTTTTCTCCCAAATTGGAAGCAAAATGGGCGCAAATGAGACGAGAAGATGAGAAGTCTGATGAAGAAGTTCAAGTAAGGCGCAACAAACAAAACATGGCTGCGGCCATGGTGTGTCAACCAACTAAGGAACAACCTCAATGGGGTGGCTTTGTTGTTGGTCGCTCTTACAAACCACGAAACAGAGCGATGACGCATGCCAATTTGATGAACAACTACTTCAACCCCAACTCGGTGTACACAGAAGAGGATTTCAGACGTCGCTTCCAGATGAGACGTCATGTCTTCGAGCGTTTACTTCGTGATGTCCAGCAGGTCAATCTATACTTTTGACAGAAGCGGGACAGAGCAGGCCGCCCTGGTTTCTCACCTCATCAGAAGGTTACTGTTGCACTCCGAATGATGGCCTATGGCTCCTCAGCTGATTCTATGGATGAAACCAATGGTATGTCTGAGTCTACATGCCTTAATACTCTTGAAGAATTTTGTAACACAATTATTCAGGTTTACAAAGACGAGTACCTCCGAGAGCCAAATCAAGAAGATCTGAATCGACTTCTTCGCAAAGCTGAAGACCGTGGGTTTCCGGGCATGATAGGGTCATTAGACTGCATGCATTGGGATTGGAAGAATTGTCCCACTGGATGGCAATGAGGCTTTAGCGGAAGGTCGAGAAAGCCAACTGTTGTGTTAGAGGCAGTTGCCTCATATGACACATGGATCGGGCATGCTTTCTTTGAAGTCCCTGGATCCCAAAATGACATTACAATTCTTGGGCGTTCACCCCGTTTCAATAACTTGATGGAAGGTAAAGCACCTCAACTGGACTACTACATCAACGGCTGTGAATACGGTATGGGGTATTACTTGGCAGATGGCATCTACCCAAAGTGGGCGACACTTGTCCAAGCAATTCCAAACCCTAGGAATGATGCAGAAAAGTTGTTTACCTTACACCAAGAGGTATACCGGAAAGATGTTGAGAGAGCTTTCGGTATTCTACAAGCACAGTGGAAGATCATTAGCGAACCGGCAAGAGGGTGGAGTCGAGAAAATTTGAACTCCATCATGATGTCTTGCATCATATTATACAATATGATAATGGAGGATGAGCGAGATGGGTATATTGATGGAGAGTTCGATGACGACCAAGAAGATCCAAATAGGTCAAGAAGGGCTCTAGCAAAAATATATGATAGGCCTAATTTGCCTTTCAATCCAAGAACTGGTAGTATCTCTATAAATGAGTACATGAGGCGCTATAGAATGATACGTTCTCGTGCCACAAATAAGTACCTACAACAGGATCTTGTTGCACATCTTTGGGCCAAAAGAAGCATAGAGTAGGCTTTTAAGTTTTATGTTGTTAAATGTTTTTAAAAATGTTGTTTAAGTTTCATGTTGTTAAATGTTTTTTTATGTTGTATAATTTGTATGTTGGTTAATGTTATTTAATCATGTTTCATATTGTTTAATTTTGTTTCATGTTACTTAGTTTAATTTAATGTTGTATAAATGGCCTAGGAAGTTATAGGAAAAAAATAGAATTGAAAAAAATATGAAACAAATTTTGTGAAATAGAAGTTATAGGAAAAAAATAGAATTTAAAAAAAATTGAAACAAATTTTGTGAAATAGAAGTTATAGGAAAAAAAAAGAATTTTAAAAAAAATTGAAACAAATTTTGTAAAATAGAATTGAAAAAAAATTTGATTCATATGAAAAGGAAAAAAAAAGGAAAAAAAGAAGTTTAAATTCATATAAAAAAAAGTTAATACAACGGCTACTAGCCGTTATATTCAAAAAAATTCAAACTATTAGTGTCGGTTATAACCAACACTTATAGTAATGAAAAAAAGAATTTTGCCTTTGAATAACTATTAATGTCGATTATAACCGACAGTATTAAAAAATCCTTCTTTAATGTTGTCGGTTATAACCGACAGCAATGGGAAAATTATAAAAAAAAAAATAGCTAGCCGAAAGCAGCCAGCCCTTTGGCCCTTTGAAATTCCATAGGGCCCTCCCAGACTCCTGAGCCCTCTGGCCTAGCCCTCGGTTGGAGACGGTTTTAGGGCTATTTTCAGCCCTCTGGACCCTTCGGTTAGAGATGACCTTATAACCGACAGCAATGGGAAAACTATAAAAAAAAAATAGCCAGCCAGCCAGCCCTTTGGCCATTTGAAATTCCGTGGGGCCCTCCCAGATTCCCGAGCCCTCTGGCCTAACCCTCGGTTGAAGATGATTTAGGGCTATTTTCAGCCCTCTGACCCTTTGGACTTTTCGGTTAGAGATGACCTTAGTTTTCACAAACTAAATTGGAAACTGTTTCTCCATCTATGTGGCCCATGAAAACTCAGCTTATTTCTCATTTTACAAGACATCTCTTTCAACACCAAAAAAAAAATCTAAAAATCGCAAGGGTCCGAAAACCTAGAGTTGATTCGGGTTCGGATCCCAAACCAATAAGTTTCGGGATGAGATTCCACAAACCTGAAACCGAACCGAAATTTCGGGGTTCTCGAAAAATTTTCGAGATTTCAGTATGGTTCGGGAGCCAAACACATGAATCATAAATAAACCCAAAACTTAAATTTGGTAAAATCCCATTTGAAAACCCTAATTCACAGAATACATGAAGACCAAACACAGAATACAACATTGCAGAAACACATAATAAAATCCAAAAATTAACGTTCAGATATTGACTGCAAAAGAAAAGAAAAAAAAACCTTGGATTTAATAAAAAACCTCGATTTTGGGGCTTGAGAATTAGAGAAGGTGGACGGAGGAGAGGCGAGAGTCGAAGAAGGAAGATGATTGACTGACTAAGTAAGTGAGCATGAAAGAATCGAGAGAGATGAGGTTAAGGAGATAGTTCGAGAGAATGAATGAATGAGAAAGACTGAGAGAGACGGAGGAGAGGCAAGACTCGGGAGAAGGTGGCCGAAAAGCGGCAGAGGCGGAGAACTCGAGAGAGAGGGTTGAGGGTTCAGTGAGAGGCTGAGAGGCTTCGGTGAAACCCTAACCTAAATATATAATATAATATAATGTTGTTTGGTTCGGAATTACTGAACGAAAGCATATAATAAAGCTGAATCACATTCCAAAAGTTTAGAATAATTTCGGTTCAAATTTTTTGATTTCGGGTCGGGTTCGGGTTGTTCGAGATTGTGTCCCAGCTATACAAAAAACTTCGTTGAGTGATATGAAGCTGAAAATTACGTGGACGCAGGCCCGTGGCCCCGGATGCAATCGTCATTTTGATACAAGACAGGCGGACAGCTGGTCCCTTCCTTCTTTTGCTTCTACTAGCCTCTGCAGTACATTATACTATTTCTAGATTTGTACCCACTAAACGCACAAATGTTATTTTTATCCCCAAAATTAAAACGTCACGTATTAAATTAAAAAAATAAATAAAGTACATTTTCCTCTATGTGAAAATTACAATTTATGTTTAGCCGTGGATTTCTATGGTGGAAAAGAAAAGGCTTCTTCTCTCTACTAGTTGTGAGTGCCTTGGCTCTCTCTCTATCACAGTTTCACCCAGACGACTCACAGGAAGTAAATAATAGAGTGAGGCAGGACAGAGGGAGAGAGAGGGAGGAGGAGAAGAAGGGGAAGGGTAGAGCTGAACCTGAACCTCTTGTTGTTCGCCGTGGCTGGCGTACGTGGTGTTGATGGATGGTGGTTTTTCCTCCTCTCCGTCTTTATCTACCTAAAATATCCAAAAGATCGCTTCGCTTGGTTCCCACGGCAACAGCCTCCACACAGACTTTGATAGAGAGAAAGAGATCGATTCTCTCCCTCCCACTCCCACCTTCTGCAGCGGCAACAAACCACCCCTAATTTTATTACTTTATATTCGTTCATTCATTCTCAAGGTCAAAGCATAAATCGGTCGCTCTATTTCTACAATTCTGGCGGACCTCAAAGGAACCTTGGCGTTCCTTTCGTCGACAGTTGTAGCGGAACATCATTACAATTTCTTAGATTTCTTCGATTTCTTCAATTTCTTCAATTCCAAGACGAGGTGGTGGAGGAGGAGAAGAGGTGGACCTTTCTGCAGCGGCGATAGTAGTACAAGCACAGAAAAGAAGCGAAAGAATATGCTCTGGATTATGAGGTTCTCTGGCTTCTTCTCTGCTGCAATGCTCATGATCATTCTCTCCCCGTCTCTCCAATCCTTCCCTCCTGCCGAAGCCATCCGATCCCCTCACCACTATCTCGATTACTCTTACCTCCGCCTTCCTCCCCCGACGGATTCCGGGGGAGGCCACTTCAACTTCCGGAAGGCCTCCGCATACCGCAATGCCGATGAATGTGCCTCCTCCTACGGCGCCCCAGGAATGTGCCATCCCAATTTGGTACACGTGGCCATCACTCTAGACGTGGAGTATCTCCGAGGGTCAATCGCCGCCGTGCACTCGGTCCTGCAGCACTCGCTTTGCCCGGAGAGCGTCTTCTTCCACTTCCTGGTGTCGGAGACGAATCTGGAAGCCCTAGTGCGATCCACTTTCCCGCAATTGAAGTTCAGGGTGTACTACTTTGATCCGAGGATGGTGCGGAGCCTGATCTCGACATCGGTGAGGCAAGCGCTGGAGCAACCGCTCAATTACGCCCGCAATTACTTGGCGGATCTACTGGAACCCTGCGTTGCCCGGGTCATCTACTTGGACTCCGATCTCGTTTTGGTCGACGACATATCCAGGCTCTGGGCTACCAGCCTCGGCTCCAGAACCATCGGGGCGCCCGAGTACTGCCACGCCAACTTCACCAACTACTTCACGCCCGCTTTCTGGGCCGATCAGCGGTTTTCCGGCACCTTTGACGGCCGGAAGCCTTGTTACTTCAACACCGGTGTGATGGTGATAGATCTCGTGAGGTGGAGGCGGGCCAAGTACACCAAGCGGATCGAGAGGTGGATGGAGATCCAGAAGAGGCACCGGATCTACGAGCTGGGGTCGCTGCCCCCGTTTCTGTTAGTTTTCGCGGGGCACGTGGCGCCCATCGAGCACCGCTGGAACCAACACGGGTTGGGAGGTGATAATGTGAAGGGCAGCTGCCGTGACCTGCATCCGGGAGCGGTGAGCCTGCTGCATTGGTCGGGCAGCGGGAAGCCGTGGCTGAGGGTGGACTCGAAACGGCCGTGCCCGCTGGACGCCCTCTGGTCACCCTACGATTTGTACGGACACACTCTTTGAAATGGAAGCGCAACAAGACGGTCGCCGGTAAATTCCCTCTAGCACCTGTTTTGTCACAATTTTTTTTTTTTTGGGTTTCCCGATTGAATTTGCCATTTACTTTATTTTTGTTTAGTATTTTCCTTGATTGTTTTGTATCATCATCATCATCTTCTTCTTCTTTCTTTTGAAATTTTGTTAATGATTAGGTGATCTCTTTGTAAGAATAAACTCTAACAGTTCATCAATCTAAAGAACATGGATACAACCAATTAAATCACAACTCCACTAAACCAATAGATGAACAAAAACACGAGAAAAGCTCGAGAACTTACCTGCAGAATTGGAACCAGATGAAGAAGCCATTGCGACTTCACAGCTTACTGCCTTCTCCTCTTTTACAAATCTCAATGGTTCTTCCAGACAATAGGGCTTGGAACTCTATATAACCGTATATTGCAAGAGCAGTGGCATAAGCTTTTATAGCACTCCTTTTGTCATTCCCTATTAGAATAGACTTAGGATTCAAACATCACAATTGATACAACATATCAATCCCAAACATGTTCTATTACCGAGTTCTAATCTCACAAGGATTATTCAGAATCTCACAAAACTTATTCCACAAGGAAACCAAATAAGTTAAGGCTTTTGGCCAAGGCTTTTCCATATCAATCTTAAACACAAGAACTGATTCCTTCCATAACTCATACTCATAAACTTACATTCTCCCACTTGAGTATGAACATGCAAAACCAGTCTTTTAAAGATTTATAGAAATGATCACCAAGTCCAAAATCAACAAGCTCACAATCACACACCAAAATACATTTCAAAATATGGAATTCAAGAATCTAATCTGTACAACACATAATCGATCCAACAATCACAGCATATCTGATCTATACATTCATGTGAAACAATTTTAGAGTAATACCAAAACATTACTCCCACTGATATTAGCCAACTTCATAACAGAATACTAATTATCAGAACACATTTACCAAACTCAATAGTATAATAACAGTTTATAAAGAATGCTCCAGCAAAATCCAAAATGATCTTCTTAGTAATCTCAACTATTATTAGATAAACTTGTCTTCTGGATCAATTAATCACATAATTGGAAAAATTGAACACCAAAATAAACTACCAACTAGATAAGCATAACTAAGCCAACTAGACTACTTTAGTTCTGGGAATCTTCAAGCTCATCGTTGCCATGTTCTAACTGAACAAAAGCAACTATCTTCAAGCCCTTAAATAGTACACTCCCACTTATCTAGGCCATACTTAACACAACCAAGTTAAGTACAAGTTAATAGCAACTATATTAACTAAAAATCATTCCAATACAATGAATGACTAATCAGAATCCATATGGAAACCAAATTTGTTTCCTTTTGAATGCTAACATCATAGGATCCTTCTCATTACTTAAACAAATTAAGTAACACAAATAATTCAACCAATTGCTTCAATAAAACCATAAACTGGTTTTTAAGCATCCAAATGAATTATTATGGTCGGCCTAAATACTCTTAGCCTTATGCTTACATTCGAACATATGATTCTCCCACTTAAGCATAAGCAGAATGTACTGCACAACCGATAAAGAAACCGGAGATATGAACCAATTGGTTCCCGATTCCTCCCTAATTGCATAATCTCAGTTTAGTCATAAATACCTAATCCATTATGCAAACAGTCTATGTATCAAAAGATAGTCACAATCCATTTGGAAAAACTTATCTCACATAAACCCAAAATCACCAGTTTCAACAATGATCAAAATCAGAATAGCAAACACAATATTTTTGCATTCAATTTGATCCTAACTAGTTCAATATCCATCGAGCAAAATCAACCAAATTTGATAATGCCTAGATATATATCACAACAATATGTCTTGATTAAAACGAGATAATCAAGACCACTATTTCTTCCTCCCTATTTGTGATTTCAACCAAAACATAATAGCGGAAACATGCATCATAAATGAAATCACAAATATACATATACAATAAGCATGCATCTTAAACTCCATGATTTTCACAATACAATAAGCACATGCTTCCTTATGAATTCATAAGTTAAATCAATATGCATTTGGCAATGTCAATTTGTGTTGTACAAAAATATAGACAACGTCTCACATAAGCTAATTTGTTTATCATCCTTGTATATGGATGACACAAGCTAATTCTCAAAATTCATAGCTTGACCTATATAATCATACAAATAAATTTTTAAGGCTAAGATCAATTATCGCCACAAAATCTAATTTGAGTCAACTAATGAAAATAAGATCATTACAAAATAAAACCCAAATTCAATGTACATATTCAATTAGCAAGAAATTCCCTACATGATACTCGAACCAAAAATAATGCATTTAGTTTATGTATCATAAATAGGAACAATGTCATCCAAATTCCATTAGTTTAATATTTAGAACCACTTAGTCATTAAGCATATATACTTGCCAACATTCGTTTAGACAATACCAATTTATGGAGTACTCGTGCAGTCAAAATGATTCCATCCCAATTGATATTCATCATATGTCCCCAACCAAACAAACAAAAGAGAACAATAGGTGTTGTATATGAACAAGTTTTATCCTCCACCAAGACTAATTTAATCAGAACCATAGTCTCTTTAATGAAAAATAAAGAGTATACATAGACTAAATGTTACACTAATTTGTTTATGCAACAAAAGATGATTTCAGACATCCCACATAAATCACAAGTTGGCATCCATAGGGATTTCGAGTTTAATCATGCCCTCACAGTATACAATTATACATGCATACTCGAAATAGCAAAAGCCCTAATTCATCATGCTCAAACTCATCACACTATAATCATGCATATAAGAGAACAATTAATCATGCATGATACAATGAACTAAGTTACCTGAATGCATCATTGGATCCATATTCGTCAACCCGATTGCAATTCCTCGGCTCCAAATAAATGAAACAAATTATCCATCAATGCTCGAGACCCAACCACGTGGATTGCCATCACTCCAAATTCCCATGGACCTCGTACCATTGCAGATTATCGAAGTGAATTGCCATTATTATAGACGCGCCGATCCAAAATCATCGCCAAAGTTATCAGCCAGAATCTCGTTGGCACCAATTCCCGGAAAAAGACAATTCTCATTCAGATTTCAATAACAAGAGAAATAATAGAACAATGAATGAGTTAACGTCAATATGAAGGGCCATAATGATAATATAATCTCAATATGCAGGTAACATGATCTTTGTTCAATGGTTCCGCAGAATTGATTAATGAAATCAAAACTATGAACTCTTTTAAAGATCCCTGATTTCCATCTTTTTCACCACTAAAATTTTAGCCCATTGAATCAATTTAGTTATATACATATCCTTGAATTTAAGGATATACATAGAGTAAACAATTGCAATGATATCCACAAACAACATTAATTGTTCTAACTGCAATACTATTTGTCATACTTATGCAGAATTGGTTAGCACCGATTGTACAACATAAAACAATAAGACAAAACTTATTTGGTTGATTTCTCATTAGTTATACCAGCGGAAGCAATTTGTAACAATCTATGCAACCATTCAACTCAAAACTGCATCGGCATCCAAGGTAATCAGAAAAATACATAACAGTTTCAAGTTTTCCTTTTAGCATGACAGTATGCAAAACAAATTTAAAAATTGAAACCTCGGGTGCGAATTAGATCATAATTCATACCTTTTGATGAATCGTATGAATCATGGCATCAATATTGACTCAAAATTAAGATTTGAATGAGTGATGAAAACCCAAACTTCGAAGAACACCATCGAAAGCGTAAAACCCAGATTTTGCAATCGGTGAATATTTTTTTTTTTTTAAATATTATACAAAAAAAAAAAAAACGACACCGTTTCACTATTCCTTTTCCAACGACTCTTTTATAAACAAAACGACATCGTTTTGAGTTCATATATTTCTTAAGAGTCCTAAGGCTTAGTTCGAAAACCCAGACAGTGCAACTCGTTCCCAGATTCAATGGTTTTCATGAAGAATTGAACTTAATGGTTAGAATCCTAAGCTCTGATACCACATGTAAGAATAAACTCTAACAGTTCATCAATCTAAAGAACATGGATACAACCAATTAAATCACAACTCCACTAAACCAATAGATGAACAAAAACACGAGAAAAGCTCGAGAACTTACCTGCAGAATTGGAACCAGATGAAGAAGCCATTGCGACTTCACAGCTTACTGCCTTCTCCTCTTTTACAAATCTCAATGGTTCTTCCAGACAATAGGGCTTGGAACTCTATATAACCGTATATTGCAAGAGCAGTGGCATAAGCTTTTATAGCACTCCTTTTGTCATTCCCTATTAGAATAGACTTAGGATTCAAACATCACAATTGATACAACATATCAATCCCAAACATGTTCTATTACCGAGTTCTAATCCCACAAGGATTATTCAGAATCTCACAAAACTTATTCCACAAGGAAACCAAATAAGTTAAGGCTTTTGGCCAAGGCTTTTCCATATCAATCTTAAACACAAGAACTGATTCCTTCCATAACTCATACTCATAAACTTACACTCTTCTCAGTCTCTAGTTTTGTTATTGTATTCATGTATTAGTGCTGCCCTTGAAAATGAAAGGAAAAAAAATAAAAGGGAAAGGGACGTTGAATTCGTCGTTGTATAAGTACCGAAATTGATTCGTGTTGGTCAGAATTCAGAATCGGAGCTATTATATCTAATTTTTGTTAATTGAAGTCACGTGACATACTACATTATGATTAAAATTAAGAATCTGAAGAAAGGCGACATTGCAAGTGGTGTGGCGTGGATTGGCGGTAAACTATCACTCTAATCAGGATTCAGATTAACATTAATCAGGATTCAGGAAACGCTAAAACTCCGACATTGGAATTAGGGTTGTCCAATGTGACCGAAAGTGACCGAATTGCTGGCTGGCTGGCTGGCTTGCTGTGTCTTCTTTATATATATGAAATGTATGAATCAAACGGAAATGCCTTCTTTCTTCGTTGGCTGCCTGCTGCCTGCTGTGGTGTAGGAACTTGTGAGCTAAGACTTAGGGCTATCCTACTCCTTTCCCGCACTCCAACCGTTGTCTCTTGGTGCTTTGTTGGCAATCCCTTATTCTCTCTTTTTCCTTCCCATCTTTTGTCTTCTCGTACTATAATACAAATAATGTTTCGAGTCAAATAATATTTCCTTCGGATCTTTTTCCTTCGCATATTTTGTCTTCACATTATTTGCATCTAACTCACCTAAGAACGCATATAAGTCGTCTCATTTACAATCATAAATTTGAGATTATGACTTAGTTACCGTCGAAAGACAATCATAGATTCAACTTACATGTGAAAGTTCAGGCTAGAAAAATGTCGATTACAATTGAAATGCATTTACAATCATAAATTTGAGATTATGACTTAGTTACCATCGAATAACAATCATAAATTCAACTTACACATGAAGGTTCAAGCTATAAAAATGTCAATTACGATCGAAATGCATTTGTGGAGCCAAAAATAATCACAAAGCGACACGTGGATTTTTGGGTAAAAGAGGACAAAAATACCCTTGAGGCATACCAGGATTCTTACGCACGAGCAGTGGACAATCATCAGTCAATCAAGTCAAAAGTGTCCAAAATAGGTAACAAATTCAAAGATATTCTCATCCATCCTCATCTTAGGTAATTATTTTATAACCTACATAACATTCCATTTAAGTGGAGGTTAAATGGCTAATTAATGGATTAATTCCTAATTAATCCATTAATCACCAATTAAATCATCCATTACACCCCCAAAAATACCCAAGGGCTGGCCACTCTTTCTTCCAAAGAGGGGCCGGTCATGCTATATAAATATGACTCCATTTTCTCTAAAAAGCTAGTTCCAACACTCTTGCAAAACTCCCAAAAAGCTCTCTAAATACTTTTCTCTCTAAATTCTAACTTTGGCATCGGAGGTTCTTCGGCCAAAGCCTCCCCATTCATTGTGGGCGTGTGAGGCTTTTGGCCTTAACCAAATGTGTTAGTTGTTTTGTAGGTGCAGTTTTGTCAAAGATCAAGGAGGAAGAAATTTGCATCCACAAATTGGTGCTTTCATTGAGAGAAGAAATCCACACTCGTACAAGACTTTCGCATAAAAAAAGGTTTTTCTCTATTTTCTAGTCTACTTGTATTTTTTTGTGCGTTCTTATTATTAGAATTTTTTTATTTGCAAAGATTCTTTGATAAAACGTAAAAGAAGAATACAATGGCTAGAAATTTAGAAAATTCCACAAGTGAAAATTCCAATATCCAAGGAATGGGACCACGGCAATCCACGAGGCTAAATGCGACAATAAGTGGAGTGGCACCACCACCACGAGTTTCCACCGCGGTGGCGAGGTCCATGGTGCCTTCACCACGGCTCGAGCCGTGCCATCCAAGGCTCACAGCACCAAGACCACGGCCCAAGCCATGTCACTTCAAGCCTAACGCAAACTCAACGCGTTGCCAAACCGAGCCCAAGCCTTGCACCTATGTGCATCACACTTCGAACAGCCTGCTCCCGCCGAGCTGCCCACTCTCGTGGCCTAGCCTACCTCCGCCGAGCAGTCCACTTTCGTGACACAGCCTGTTCCCGTGGCCCAGCTTGCTCCAGCCGAGTAGCCCACTCTCGTGGCCCAACCTACTTCCGCAACTCAGTTTGCTCCCGTGGCCTTCCAAGTAGCCCAAATCGGTCTAAGATTAGTTCAACTATCCCGGCTCCAAATTTCTAGACTGACTATCGAACCAGGAGCATTTTCACCATATTTTTCTTCGGATTTGACATTTCCCAACTCAAATCTCGCGCATGAAGTTTACCACACTTCCACTGCTCAAGGAGACGCATTCCTTCCAAGCTATTCCAACCCAAATGGAGAACAACACTTGTCTCGACAAGTCATAGAGTTGACAAGCGCCTTTGCACAGCAGACGACCTTGGTGAACCACCTCTTACAACGCACCGAGATGCAACGTGCCCCAGACGAGGTGTCCTGAAATAGGACAAGGGCAAACAAAGAACCTCTCCAGCAGCGTCCCGGCAAACAACCACTCGACCAGCCACGAACCGAGCGTTCAGGCAGTGTACATTCCCAATTGGGCCCCCGAGATAGCGTATACTCCCGTCTTAGAGTGCGGAGGAGCGTGCACTCACGACTAGGCCCACAAACGAGCATACATTCACGGTTGAGGTCACACTCCGATAGTCAACATGAGCAACCTTCCAAGCGAAGTGTTCATTCGCGGCTAAGCCCGTAAAGAGCATCATCCACCTCAAATCGGAGTAGGCAGCACGACAGACAGAGAGAAGCAATCACTCAATCCGGCTCAAGTTCAACCGGCAGCCTGCGAAGAACCTGCTCACCTGCTAAGAACACGTTACATGCACCGCATTCACAGCATAAGCGAGCCAAACACATGAAAGAGCAGCTTAGACCAACAAGTTATGGTTAGGGGTAGCCGAGAGCTCTACTACCTCAACAAAGGCAAATTCAGGAAGAAGTAGAAAGACTCTTGACTGAACGATTGCGTAATTTCCAACGCAACGAGGTCACTGACGAGGCACTACGACGGAACATGACCAACATAAGCAGGTCACCCTTCACAAACGAGATCGAGTAGGTAGAGCTTCCACGCGAGTTCAGAATGCCACATTTCACATCTTTCAAAAGGGATGAAGACCCGGAGAAATACTTAAAGCACTACCGAAGTGCAATGATTCTCTATCGAAACAACGATGATCTCATGTGCAAGATATTCGCCACCACTCTATAAGGCAAGGCGCAAGATTGGTTCTACACCTTGCTGCGACAATCCATCCGGAATTTCGACGAACTTTCTTTGGTTTTCACCAAAGAATATTCATCCTGTTGCTCGATAAAAAAGAAGTTCGACCATTTGTTTGATGTCAAGAAGAACCCAAAGGAGTCGCTTCGCGACTATGTGAGGAGGTTCAAAGCAGATAAGGCAAGGATAGTCGGATGCAACGACTCGATAGCTAGAGTAGCCTTCCAAAAATGACTTCCAGCATACCACCCGCTATTCAAAAAATTGATCATGAAAGAAGATCTAACTCTGGCAGAGAAGCATGTGGGACGAGGCTCGCCAATGCACATTCAAGGACTTGAAGAAGTACCCGACATCACCTCCCTACTATCCAAACCGAAAGCAGCTGATGACTCATTCGCATGTTTGACGATATCTTAAGCAGCAATAAGCTCTACTATCATACGAGAAGAGTTGGGGGCCCAACTACCTGTATTCTACAGTTCAAAAGCTTTCATCGATGCTATTAGAAATTCAAAAGCTAACTTTAGCGATAGTTGTTATAACCCAGAAACTCAAGTTTTACCTTCAAACACACGCAGTCATCATCATGATGCACTATTCTACTGAATCCAGACGCGCGACGATAAAGGTGTAGACCCTACCAGATGCAAAGTTTTCTAACGAACGCAACAACTCGGCTCAAAAGACACGCCAAGGGAAGATGAACACTGGAAGGAATACTTAGAAGCAAGTTTTGTCCTTGTCGCCCCAGAAGATTCTACATAAGAGCAACATGTACCAGCAGTTGAGCACTACCTCCTGCTGCACATCACACGGCCCTTGCCGACTCTTGCTCCATTACTTAGCTCCAGAGTGGCCCAATACAGGCAGTTGAGCATCTCCTGCTACATGTAACATGGCCCCAGCTCCACGGCTCCCTATCGCGCCTTCACACCTAGCCTTGACAACCCAACAGAGCGGCCCAACGACGCCTCGGAAGTAGCCGAGCACACTCTAGCCGTGCATGCTCAACCCGATGAAGACTTCTGGCATTTGCACGTCGACGACGCATCCAACTACAAAGGTTCAGGAGCAGATGTGGTCATTGTCACCCCAGGCAATTCGATGCCCAATCAGGCGATCATTCTAGGTTTCAAAGCATCCAACAATGAAACAGAGTATATGGCCCTACTAGCAGGCTCCGAATGGCAAAAAACTTGGCGATGAAGAAGCTTGCAATTCATGGGCAGAGATTTGGAGAAGTTCTTCCAAGAATATGGCATCAAGCAACACATGTCCATGCCGAGATATCCTCAAAGCAATAGGCAGGTCGAAGCATCCAATAAAATGATCCTCAACTGCCTCAAGAAATCCCTCACCAACAAGAAGGAAAATGGCCAGACGAACTCCCCGGATGTCTATGGGCATATCGCACCACCAAAAGACGAGCAACCGGTGAGACTCCTTTCTCTTTGCATTTGGTTCGGAAACAATCATTCATCCTAATGTCATCAAGCCAAGTATCATTGCTCTACTACCAAGCATTGAGCAGAACAGTAAGGAGATGGTCACAAGCTTAGATTTAACAGATGAGAAGCGCGAGCAGACCAGCACCTGTATTGCAGTCTACCAGCAGCAGCTCCTTTCCAGCTACAACAAAAGGGCTAAGATCTGGTAGTTCTAGCTCGGAGATATAGTCCTAAGAAAAGCCTTCATCACTGCCCGCGGAGAAGGCTAAAAAAAGATGGATCCCATATGGGAAGGTCTGTACAAGATTAACAGAGTAAGCAGCGAGAGTAATTACACCCTCTCCACCATGAAACGACAAAAAGACTGAAAAGCAATGGAACCCCTACAATCTGAAGAAGTACCATGTGTGACCTCCCGCTACATCAAAGCCTGAAGACTCAAGCAGCTCGACGGGCACTACCTCACAAACCGAGGATTATCTAGTTGTTATGCAGTTTCTACCTTACAGCTAAGTTTTGGTTCGTTTCACTCGTTTTTCAATAAGGAATTTAGAAGTAATCACAACTTGGCTCGGCTGCATGCTTACAACAACTGATCACTCCTGCACTTCAAAAGAAGACTGCGCCATTCTTAGGGACTTATTGCAGGAATTGCGCCCCCCGAGAGACCAACCATGTTCTCCAATGCGAAAGGGTAAACTAATTGCTCTCCAGTGCGAGAGGGTAAACCAATTCCCTGACACCTACATGGGTCAGCTCTCCAAGACGGGAGAATAAACTTTACACTCCGAATATCCAGACGTGGATGAGCCTAGCTGCCCTAGTATAACTAGATGCACGATGGCTTGTGCCGGGATTCCTAGAAGTAGCCACAATGGTCTTTTTCAAGGCTTAGCTAACTGAAGGATTTTTGGGTCTTTTGGCCTAATCCGTGGGGATCCGGGCCCTAGAGATGGAGAGGGCACATTATGCAGTACGCCCTACAGACGGTTGCCCTAGAACCTTAAAGCTGCTACGGAGTGCACTAAGGTAGCCTACGGTTTCCGGAAGATTTCCTACAACTTTCCCTTCAAGCAGTAAAACCACGTTATACAGCCGCACATTCTTGTGAAAGGTTAAACAAGCTAGCGTGCATATACGAAGTTTTATCCACTGCCGACATGCTACGTGGTCGATAAACTTCACCTCTGCCAAGTGCAGAACAACCTACACCAAGTCCTAAAGTGTTGTGATACTTGCTACGCAATCTACATAATTGGAGAAAGCCAAGGTTAACAGCCTAGTGGTTACGCGGACTTGTCTGCTTCTGTAAGTAAGGCATCCGACTGCCAACCCTATGGCTAACAACTTTGCAAAGCTCTACACCAACACTTACGGCTGCATAGGCTACACGGGTCTGTCTGCTTATAGAAAAGTAGCACCCTGCCATTGGTCTATAAAGTTTAAAGGTTAGGGCATGAATAAAAGAAGCGAAGATGAAGAAAAGTGAAGGAAGCATGTTTATAAACAATTAGCAAAGGCCGAATGAGTTCAAGCAAAACAAGAGGTACAAGGAAAAACAAAGAAAATCTTAAAGGCTACCTAGAGGACTACACTTTAGCAGCTTAGAAATCCCACGACTATTCGCTCGCCACACCTTCAGCAGCTGTGACGCTCTTAGCAGAGGCATCATCTAGCGCTTCACCCCTGGCTGCCCCAGCCTGGGCACTAACTTCTCCATCTACTTCACCAATGAAAGCCTCAAAAGTAAAAGCAAGCAAGTCTTCCGAAGAAATAGAGAAGGTCTCGAAACCTCGAGCCCATCATTCTCACCCTTCAGCTGCTCATTCTCCTCAAGCAGACCAACACGGACGCGCTGCAGCTCATCCACTTCCTTCTTCAGACTTTGGTTGATCTTCAGTACACCTTAAAGTTCCAACACTTTGTGTTCAAGCCTATCTACAATTATCTTGAAGTGGATCATTTTATTATAAGCAGCAATCAACTCTTCATCCTTTGCATAAGCAGCGAAACGAAGCTCAGAAACTGCAAACTCAAGATCTTGAATCTAAGGTATGTAACATCCAATCTCATTCTCTGCACTTTCATACTTAACTTGGATAGCGTCAAGCCTATTCTTCAAGTCAACGATCTCTTGGCGAGCGGTCTCAAGCTACAGAGAAGTGGGGGTAGAAATATTAGACCCCTTCAAAGCAACGAGCTCAGAATCCAACCTCTTGATCTCCTCAGTCGAGGAATAAGCTTCAGCTGCCATAGTCTTCGCCACCTCTTTGGCAGCCTTGCTACACCTGCATCATAGAAAGCAGAACAGTCATTCTATATTGGGTCGTATGCTTCGCAAAAGAACTTGGGCAAACAACCTTTCTAACACCATCAACAAACTAGCACAAACGTCCATGTCTTCAAGCAGATCTGGTCTTAACAGCACATGAATCTCATCAGCCTCCCCAGAAGCAAGCTTAGTGGATTTCTCATAGCTGCTCACGTAAGCAGTTTTCTCTTTCCCAACAGGCGAATCAGTCTCTACAGCAGAGGGAGTAGGACTTAGCACCACTTTAGTAGCAAAGTTCACTTTATCGCTCTTCATAATAACAAGCATCTCCAAAGGTGAACCAGACTTAGCTCCTAACGGACGTCTTGGTACAAACTTCGGCACTGGGGGCACATCAAGACCTCTACGCTGAGCAATCCTATTAGCAATCATACTAGCTATTCTTGATGGCAGGCACCACATGCTCAGATCTAGCAGCTTTATTTTTTTCCCATCGGAAGAAATTATGCCAATCACAGACCTCTCGGCAGCAGGCGAACCTTTATGAGCAGTGGAAGAAGTCTTCAGTCTTCTCTTAACCAGCATCTCTTGAGCAGGCGGGGAAGATCTCTTCTTTCCACCTTTATTCATAGTAAGCTCTACGACATCGATCAGATGAGCCAATGCATTCGCCTTAATCCTCTTTACCTCATCTTTCGAGAGCAGCCTACCTTTCTCCCGACGAAGATGACTAAGTAGCCAACGACATTCACAGTACTCAGCAGAAGAGCTTAACCCAACATTCTAGCAAGCAGGAGGCCTGCATGCCCAGCATTCTAGCAACCTATGAGCTTCCACGACCTCCTCATTTCTCTCAGTCGCTAGCCTGGCCCGAGTCAGGTCCAAGAGCCCAAAGGACATGAGCCATACGGCTCGCCTAGTGCCACAATCCGTAGCCCCAGCCGCACAAGCTGCCCTTGGCTCTAACCAAGCTGAGCTTCCCAAGCAGTGGTCCCTGCCACAACACCTCATTGGCTTATGCTGAGCCGACTCCTGGCCCTTGCCAGCCGACGTGTTGCACCACCCCGACGGCTGCTCCGCGACAGCACTATCCAAGAAGAAGACAAGAAAAATTAATTTTTCTTACATCGGTGCGGCACGGAGAAGACAAAGAAATCAACGAAAGACGGTCCTTTGCATGGGCAAGATGTAGAAGATTGCTAGAGGAGGGGGAACAAATATCCTCTAAGCTCTCTCTCTCTCTCTCTCTCTCTCTTGTAGGGTAGAGTAAATCACTCTCCAAAGTTAATTTAATAACCCACTTAAGGTGGACTTAAATAGACTTTGAGAGAAAGTTATTTCTCTTTCCTAGAATGATCTAATTTCCTATTAAAGAGGGATTCTACATCAAACAAGGAAGCAGTCCTATGTTTCATAAAGCAAGAAGATCTCTACACCTGATGCCCTTTCCTATGAGCAGCCCAACAGGTGTGGGGGTATTTGTGGAGCCAAAAATAATCACAAGACGACACGTGAATTTTTGGGTAAAAGAGGATAAAAATACCCTTGAGGCATACCGGGATTCTTACACGCGAGCAGCGGACAATCATCCGTCAATCAAGTCAAAAGTGTCCAAAATAGGTAACAAATTCAAAGATATTCTCATCCATTATCTTAGGCAATTATTTTATAACCTACATAACATTCCATTTAAGTGGAGGTTAATTGGCTAATTAATGGATTAGTTCCTAATTAATCCATTAATCACCAATTAAATCATCCATTACACCCCCAAAAATACCCAAGGGCCGGCCACTCTTTCTTCCAAAGAGGGCCGGTCATGCTCTATAAATAGGACTCCATTTTCTCTAAAAAGCTAGTTCCAACACTCTTGCAAAACTCCCAAAAAGCTCTCTAAACACTTTTCTCTCTAAATTCTAACTTTGGCATCGGAGGTTCTTCTGCCAAAGCCCCCCCATTCATCGTGGGCGTGTGAGGCTTTTGGCCTTAACCAAAGGTGTTAGTTGTTTTGTAGGTGCAATTTTGTCCAAGATCAAGGAGGAAGAAATTTGCATCCACATCACTAACAAGAGGTTCCAATATATATATATATATATATATATATATATATATATAGCTTATATGTTATAATGGGATGGGATCAAGAACAAAGATCTTGACAAACATTTCTACACTCCTTTGTAGCCCTTGGATGTTATAACCTCCAACGGTCTTGATTCAGCACTCTCTCGTACAAATCCCTTGCCACAGAAAGACAGATCTACTCATTTCATACTTCATAACGTATGCATACATACGCAAGCCATACTTCAGTCACATCTCTTGTTAGTGTCACACACCAGTAGATACATCCAAGTTTTTTGTCACATAATTCCCGGATTGGCTAAGAAAATGGATATTGTTTAGTTTCAACCAGCTACCAAAAATATAATTAGAGTACAACAGACCACCAACCGCTCCAAGTTTGCTTTCAGATACAGATCAATAACTTGAGTAATGTTGTGGATGAGTTTCTAAGTTTTGAAACCGGCATCGGAAATGTTCTTTGAACGACAAAGTTCACTCAAGAAGTTCATTGGTGAACCAGGAGACCCAGCACCGACTGTCGATGGGACCCCAAGCTGAGCTGCTTCCTGTGCACATTACTGGTCCTTCTGAAACATAAAAAATTTAGAGAAAAATCATCCAAATTGCAAGAAGCAATCACAGTACGATTCCTGAATGATGCATGCTTAACTGAGGTTCGTTTCAAGACCCCTCCTCGACTGCTTTGAGTCCTTCCTACTCTTTAACAATTCATTATCTAGCACTTTTTTAATTTTTTTTTTCTTATCAGAAATCAGATTTCTCCTTTCTATCATTGCCTCCGTTCTTGTTATAATTTTTGTTAAAGATTCTCTCTGCACTCCCCTTCCCTTTAGCTGATCAATCAAATCCGATGGAAAGTTGGAAAGTCCTCAGCCTACTCCTGTATGTGATTAGGACGAAGTTGGCAAAGGATATGTCATCTGCCTTAATAAAAAATACTCTTGTACTCAACCTATTGCTCCACCCAAACACTCTGTTAAAGCTTGTGCTCTGAACCACCAAACAATTATATACCCTCAGCCATCTTTAATATACACTGCTGATTATTTTGCTGAAGAACTATTTTGTGTGATTGAATGAACTATACCATACATGCATCAATTTGGACATCTTATTGAATGTCTTTACTTTCATGCAGAGTATGCATCAAATTTTGATAGATCTACAGATGGATCATTGAAGCAATGCATGGCAGCTGCCCAACCTGCATTTGAAGACATGCAATTATAACCAAACCTCATGCAAGTAACACCAAAAAAGAAAAAAAAAAACCCTCTGTTATTAATCTTTAGTTAATCATGTACAAAGTCCCAGCAATTTTTCACGCATAAAGAATTTTTAGTCCAAGCTCCAAAGAAAATACTCTTAGGTCAACTAATGATAATCTTTACCTTCTTTGTAACTTTCTGAAAAGTCAAAAGAAACGTGGGTGGGGGGGTTCAGGGGCTTGCATCCCTATTTTCACCTTTAACTTTTTGTAAATGGTAATCGGAGAAAGGAATCGCCAGCAAGAATTTAAATGTACAACCTAAACCCTAAACCCTCAACAGCTGTCCCTGCTTTATGGAAATGAACTTTAATTTCACTACTTCATTTGTATAAAAATACTAACAATATGAAATGAGGATGTCAATGTGGGCATCATAACCTATTCTCTTTTGCATGTTACTTTCAATCATCATGTTGAAATATCATGGATCACCTCAGGACCCCGTGCTGATATCATTTTCACAAAATTGTATGGCAGAGCGTAAATAGACTGATGAAAAAGAGCGAAAACAAAGTAATTCCTGTATTAACATATAGCAATTCCTTTTCAAGCAACTGTTGACAGAGCTGGAAAGCTTCACTGGTGCAACACCCCTCTAGAGCTATTAACCCCGGAAAGTTCTCATTCAGAAGACTGCTGCTGCTTCCATCCCCATGATCAAACTAGGTCAAACGGGTTTTATGCTTGAACTCCGGATTAGGGTTTAGGTTAAATAGGATTATGATCTATTGGGTTTTGGATTTTCTAAGGTTAAAGGGTTAAAAGGGTATTAGGCTGAGAATTGGGGTTTGGGCTTTAGCCCAACACACACACACACACGGCATGCATAGCATGCACACACACACACACTTAAACACACACACACACAACACCACACGGCCTGCAGGCCTAGAACCCAAGGCCGGGCATTAAGCCCTTAGGCCTAAGGAGGAAACTGGGCTTTAAGCCCTTAAATAAAAGGAAAGAGGTCCTAAGGCCCGGGGGACCCTTAAAACCCAAAGTAAAAATAAAAGAAAACGGGCTGGGCTAGTTCAAGTACGGGCTAAGGCCCGTGGGGTTTGGGTTTGGTGGGTTGTCGGACCCAATGGGAGAGAAAGCCGAAAAATTGGCCGGAAAATGCACAATCTTTAAACGGTCATAACTTTGTCACTACTCAACGAAATCAAGCGAGACAAAAATGAAAGTTATAGCTTTTGAAGAGACGAAGAGAACGGTACCTCACACGACGTCTAACTCGCCATGGTTTGGCCAAAAAATTCCTCGAAAGCCTCAGAGGTCGCCGAAAACTGGGTAAGATTCAAATGAGTATAACTTCTTTAATACTCAACGAAATTGAGTGAAACAAAAAGGAAAGTTGTAGTTCTCAGTGAGACGAAGAGATTGATACCTTGCATGCCGGCCAACTCGCCGTGGTTTGGCCAGAAATTGGCTCGAAAGGGACGGTCTGCATCGGAGCTCTCCTTGGGTTTATGCCATGACTTGCAGCGACGGAAGAGAAAGAGAGTTGAAGATGATGAGGATGGTGGAGCTGAGAGCTCGAAGCTCTTGGGTCTTCAATGGCAGAACACACACAGATGTTCTAATGATGCATGCAAGGGCTTAGTTGGGTTCCTACAGTCTCAAGGGTTCCAAATATATGGTTTTGGGGTTTGATTTGTGAAGGAAGTGAGGTGAAAGCATAGAGAGAAGCTCTCGGAGCTTAGAGAGAGTGAGAGCGTGCGAGTGAAAAAGAGAGAGAGCAGACTTTTCAGAAAAGAGAGAGGAAGGAGATGAGGTTCACGGGTTGAATATACCTTGGGCTTAAGAAAATTAAAGAAAAACTCGGGCCTTACATTAAAACACAAAGGGATTAGCCTGGCCCAATGTAAACTAGGTTATTTTTTGGGTAAGGGTTATAACAATATGGACTGTGGCGGCAAAGTGTGGAACCAATATTGTGTTTCACCTTTTAAAGTGATGGCAAATATCTTGCAAATGAGAGCATCATTGTTCCGATAGAGGATCATTGCGCTTCAGTAGTGCTTTAATTGTCTTTCCGGGTCTCCATCTCCTTTGAAAGATGTGAAATATGGCATGCTAAACTTGTGTGGAAGCCCTGCCTACTCGATCTAGTCTGTGAAGGGTGACCTGCTTATGTTGGTCATGTCTTATCGTAACACCTCATCAGTAACCTCGTTGAATTGGAAATTGTGAACTCGGTCAGCAACTTCTCTACTTCTTCCTAAATTTGCCTTTGTTGGGGGTTGCAGATGTAACATCCCACATCGCCTAGGGAAGCGATCCTTAAATGTATATTCCCATCCCTACCTAGCACGAGGCATTTTGAGAGCTCACTGGCTTCGGGTTCCGTCGGAACTCCGAAGTTAAGCGAGAAGGAGGCCAGAGCACTCCCAGGATGGGTGACCCATTGGGAAGTTGTTCGTGAGTTCCCAAAAACAAAAACCGTGAGGGAATGGTAAGCCCAAAGCGGACAATATCGTGCTACGATGGTGGAGCGTGCCCGGGAAGTGGTCCGCCCCGGGCCGGGATGTGACAATTTGGTATCAGAGCCTAACCTTGGCCGTGGTGTGCCGACGAGGACGTCGGACCTCTAAGGGGGTGGATTGTAACATCCCACATCGCCCAGGGGAGCGATCCTTAAATGTATATTCCCATCCCTACCTAGCACGAGGCCTTTTGGGAGCTCACTGGATTCGGGTTCCGTCGGAACTCCGAAGTTAAGCGAGAAGGAGGCTAGAGCACTCCCAGGATGGGTGACCCATTGGGAAGTTGTTCGTGAGTTCCCAAAAACAAAAACCGTGATGGAATGGTAAGCCCAAAGCGGACAATATCGTGCTACGGTGGTAGAGCGTGCCCGGGAAGTGGTCCGCCCCGGGCCGGGATGTGACAGCAGAGCTCTCGGCTACCCCCGGTCTTGACCTGCTGGCCTAGGCTGCTATTCCATGCGCTCGGCTCGTCTATGTGGTGGCTGCGGTTCATGTGGTATGTTCCTAGCAGGCAAGCGAATTACTTGTAGGCTGCCGGTTGAACTTGATTCGGATTGAGTAACTGCTTCTCTCCCTCCATCATGCTGCCTACTCTGATGTGAGGTGGATAATGCTCCTTGCAGGCCTAGCCACAAATGAACACTTCGCCTGGAAGGTTACTCATGTTGATTACCAAAGTATGGCCCCAACTATGAGTGTATGTTTGTCCATAGGCCTAACCGAGAGTGCACGCTCCTCCACACGCTAAGGCGAGAGTATACGTTATCTTGGGGCCCAGTTGAGAGTGTACATTGCTAGAACACTCAATTCGTGACTGGTCGAGTGGATGTTTGCCAGGACACTACTGGAAAGGTTATTTGTCTGCCCTTGTCCTACTTCGAGACACTTCGTTTGGGGCATACTGCATCTCGGTACGCTGCAAAAGCTGTTTTACCAAGGTCGTCTGCTGTGCGAGGGCACTTGTCAACTCTACGACTTGTCGAGATAAGTGTTGTTCGTAATTTGGGTTGGAAAAGCTTGAACGGCATACGTCTCCTTGAATAGTGGAAGTGTAATGGACTCTGGGCTCGAGATTTGAGTTGGGATAAGTCAAATCTGGAGAGAAATGGGGTGAAAATGCCCCCAGTTCAATCGTCAGTCCAGGAATCTAAAATTGGGACGGTTGAACCGATCTTGGACCGGTTTGGATCGCTTGAAAAGTCATGGCAGTGGGCTGCTCCATGTGCGACATGCATGTGTGATAGGCTTGGGCTCGGCTCGGGAGCACGCTGAGTCGCTACTCGGGCCAGCTCACCTTGGTCATGGGCCCGTGTGGTTTACAGTGGCGTGGGGCACTAGGCTATCTTTGGCACAGCTTAGGCCTGCAAGTCTTGGGCCACTGTCTTGGAAGATGCGGTTGCGCCTTGGGCCTGTTCGCTCTGGGCTGCGACAGACTTCCTTGTGCTGCGGGCCTAGGCTTGCTGCTCTAAGGTGGCGCGGGCATGTGCTTGTGGCTACAAGGTGAAGCCTTCATCGTGGGATATAGGCTCGCCGAGGGTTGCTGCCGTGGTTGCCACCATGATGGCTGCCATGGTGGTGCCCCATGGGGGTGCTGTTGCTCCACTCGTTGTCATGTTGAGCCTCGTGGATCACCGTGGTCTAAATCCTTGAACGTAGAAAGTTCCGTTCATTATGGTTTCCAAATTTCTAGCCATTGTACTTTTCTTTTATGTTTTATCAAAGAATTCTTATAAAAATTCTAAGAATAAAAACTACAAAAAATCTACAAATGAACAAGAAATGAGAAACTTTGAATGCAAGAGTCTTCTTCGAGTGTGTGAATCAAGACTCTCAATGAAAGCACCAATTTGTGGATACAAATTTCCGCCGTCTTCTCATTTGACGAAAATGCACCTGCAAAATAATAACACCTAAGATCAAGGCCAAGAACCTCACGTGCCCACGATGAATGGGGGGGGGATTTGGCCGAAGAATCTTCAATGCCAAAGTTAGAATTTGAGAGAGAAAGTGTTTAGGAAATTTTAAGGAGAGAATGAACTTAGCTTTTTTGAGAAAAAAAAGACTATTTATAGGGGTGTGGCCGGCCCTATTTGGAGAATAGGGACTGGCCACTTATAATGGTTTTATGAGGTTAATTGCAAGATATTATGTGAAATAATATCTTGCAATTAACTTGGTAATCAATCCCAATTTAAATAGTATAATTGGGAGTTATCTTATGGGTGAGGATTTGATGAAGAGTGATGAGAGAGTTTTGAATAAATACAATTTTGATCACCTTTGACTCTTCCTTGATTGAGTCGTTATTGTCCATTGCATGAGCGTGGGAATCCCGATGTGACTTGTCATTTGCACCTAAAAGTTCACGTGTTACCTCCATAATTTTCTTGATTATTTTTTACTCTACACCACTCAAGAGTATTCAAATTCAATCCAAACTATCTATTAATAAACCTTTTTTATCAATCAAAAAAGAGTGAAAGACAATTTGATCTCATATCACAAAATAAAGTATGGGATGTAATGTAATTTAGTACAAACCAAATTTTGCTGCTTTTCTTCCCTCGCATACAACATAACATATCTCTAATTTTAACCCTAAGAAAAATACTAATTATCCTATCTCATCAATCAACACATATTCAGTTTGGTTGAACATCATTGGTTGGCAAGCCAGCAACATATTCAGTTCGTGGAACATCACTGAAGTTGTAGAACTCGTCGACTTAGGAGTACCTTTAGTTTGGTAACAACACTACTTCTAGTTCGATTGGTAATCTATCCAAATCTCTACTGGCGATGAGTCATTAATTCTCTCCCTGAACAAGGTCATTGAATGAGGTCACTTCATTAGTTTTCTTGG